CTAGCTAGAAAGTGTGAGATTAAACATTGGTATGCCTGTGGTGCAGACCGACGGAAGGTCGGGTGGTCGGTGTACGGTCACGTGATTGCCAAATTTTTTAGGATGGATAGAATTTCTAAGCTATGGGGCGTCGAATTGAGCCCGTGATCAAATAAAATATCAACAGAAAACTTAAAAGAATACGTGGCCTTAATGGGTAGAAAAATGAGGCCGCGGTAATAATGGTCAGCGGATACTCTAGTTTGACAGCTGTCAATTATCCTTTCAAAGAATCGCAAATATTCGAATGAACAGACTACGAGTGTAAGACCTATCCATCCGGCTTGTAGTGGAAAATGCCAGATCGTGTACCTAAGCGGACCTGAGCCCACATTATTAGTTTTCTGATAGTGGTCTGCACATGTCCCATTTTGACAGCTGTCAATTGACCTTAATTTGGCTTGCGCATATAACTTTAAACTACTGTCAGCCGACTGACAGCCCTGCCCGGCGTAGGTTCGGTTTTATGTTGAATTGGTAAGTGTAACATATTATATCAGCTTATATGTAGGGGCAAAACGACTGATTTTTCATCCCGCGAGATCGTCATGTGATAATTGTCAGCGGATGTCTGATTTTGACAGCTGTCAATCTAATCATACTCATATGGATGGCTTACATAACTGAAAGGCTAGTCAACTTGTGCAAGATCTATTGTAACATTTGACATCAGCTTACATGAAGTGTGTGTACGAACAGGGCGGGCGGGCGTACGCTACGTCCAGGGCGTAAGAAGCTAGGGCGTTGAAACGCTCATACGCGCTCTCTGGTTCAGCTGTGATGCGGAGTAGGACTGGAACTAGTTCGTTTTCCGCTCTTTATCCGCTGTCAGGGCAAGAAAAATGGCGCCGTCCAGCTGAAGGTAGGTTCGGATTTATTGCTTTATATCTTTAGGTCGCTGCAATCTATAATTAGATCTGATATTTGGCGTATTTCGATGCGATACACAGAAAATATTTAGGTGATATTTTATATCTACTCTTATAAGTTAAGGTGTTTTTTCGCCTTTTATGTTTATGTAGTGTCAAAATGGCCTATCGAATATAGAATATATAAATAGGTCGCGTTTTATCTTGCCAGTCAAAACCAAATGATAATAAACGGCTACAAAAAAAATATGGAATGGTTTTATAAATTTTGTTTGTGCATGCAACTTTTTAGAGTGAACTTTTATGAACCTTTAAGGTTTTTAACCTCTGAAGTGACGACTTCATAATGGCGATAGCAAGGTTTTTGTTTTGCACGTTGGCGTTTAGCTTGTTAGTAAAATAAAAGATTTCAGTTGCCCAATTTAGCGATTTTTCTTTTTTTAATATACACTAAGAGGGCAAATATTTCTTTTTAGTTACAGAAACGCGATCCAAGAAGGTTCTGGCTATATTGAAAGCTCTACTAGAAAATTACATTCGAATGATCTCGTGTCACAGTCGTTACATAAAGAACAACACATTCTGCTTTACCGCGGTATAAATCTAAAGGTTGTATTGCACAGAAACAGAATGAAGCCTATGGAGAAATTTGCTTTCCAATCCCCACAAAGATTCCACTGTAAAATTAAATCACAGAATGTGTTTGTTATTATGATTTTTTGCAGGACAACAGTGATTGCCAGGCCTGAAAAGACTACTACAACACACACTGAAAAATAAACGAGTTCATAATACCGTGAATAAGAAGACTGTGTAGCATTGTGTTTTTGTCGTCAGAGGCTTAAGAGTGGTGTTACACAAACTACAGTCAGCTCACAGATGGAAACTATTGGACCTATTGGGACTGGCACAAACAGTCCGGGATGGTTATCAAATTTGATAACCATGTTACGTCACAGCATGGCGGCCATTTCGGAAATCGGAGACTTTCGTACGCCGTTCGTGTTTTTCATTTTTTATTCGGTATTGCTCGCCTTATGTACCCATAAGTCTATTGGAGATTGGTGAAATAGACACGGTTCTTCAAGTGCAGGAAAGATGGCGTTCATTATAGGATGATTGAAGCGAAGTTTTTGCCCGAGAAGTGACAGGGCGGTTGGAATAACACGTTGAAATGAGGTATGTTTTTCAACTTTGCCTTTAAGTTTAGGCTAGTAAAAGAATTTTGTCACAGTTAAAAAAATTATGGAGTTGATCTTCAAACTATTTCCTTTCGATGCAACTGTTATTTGTCCGAATGCAAACTGCCGGGAAAAAGTGCATGGGGTGGTCTTGATTTACGGTATAATTCTGTTACTAACCGCCATTTTGTGTTTTCAACGGAGCAACTACAGAATACAGGGCGAACCTGGTTCGCCCCCCAAAACGATCGAGTTCGCCCCATGTACATCTGGATCATGTTTTTCTACTAGTTTATGTCAGTACGCCAACCTTTTTTTGTTTGTGTCTCCTTGAAGTTTAGAGTACAACATCGACTTGATGCGTGTGCTACATAGAAGGAAACTCGCCCACGGTAGAAACTAGAATTCGATTTTGTGTCACACGGTATATTAGTGTGTTACCATAAACATTTTTAATAAAGTCTGCAAGTCCTTTACTTTTGCGTTCGACAAGATAAAAAAATATTGTGTTTGTTATGTTTGGCTGTCGTCCTGCATTTAACTTCAAAGACGTTAAACGGCCATTCTCGTGAAAGTTAAACGTAAAACGGCCATTCTCAAGAAAGCTGCGTAACGCAATGACTGTTTACTTTGGTACGAGCGAGCACGCACAAAGCTGACATGGCCACGTGTCAAACAGAGCAATATCAACGTTTTTACAAATACGTAAATGTCCACAAATTAAACTATTAACTTTTTGAGCGGGAAGATCAAAAACTTAATAATTTATCGCTTATAACTCCATTGTATGAACTTGTGACTTTTCATGACAATAAGGCTAATTAGCGGCCCTCGCGCGGCTAATAAGAAAGAAGGTGTGATTCTTTTTTTACTGTCTAGTGCTCTCTTTGCGGGTTGTGTGTTTCACTGGACCCAAGCTGTGTGGAGAAAGGTATGTTATGTCAGTAATCGTTGTTACATGTATGGGCAAATTGGCGACCCGGGAACTGCGACCTATATTCTGAAGATAAGCGAAAAAAAACAAGTTTTCCGCGTAAATCCAGATTTAAATTTGATCGATCGACCAAACTGCCGATCAAATGATTAGACACTAAGTGCTGAACTGGTCTTATAAAAGCTGCATTCTACATTTACAAACGGCAACGGGCACATTACATGCAGTGTGATTAGCAACTAAAATGTTTCTGTTATTTATTTGTAGGTGCAAGAATGCGGGCTTCAAGCTGCCTACACGGAAGACCAAGGAACTTACTCACTCCTGAGGAAGGTAATGGCTTTGCCATTTTTACCCGAAGCAGAAATCGTGCCAATCTTCGAGCGCTTTCAACGCCAAGCAACAACTGAACGCCTGTCGGATTTCATGGAATACGTCAGCCGCACCTGGGTGCACCGTAACGTGTCATGGCCGCCGTCATGTTGGAGCGTTTACCTTCGCTCGGTAAGAACCAATAACGACGTGGAAGGGTGGCACCACGGCCTGAACAGACGTGGCCACGGAAAGACGCAGCTGCCCTTCTACGTGCTAATCCAGCTGCTGCACTAAGAAGCGAAACTCGTCTCGCTGCAGATCCGCTTAGTTTCAGAGAGGAAATTGAAGAGAATGCAGCGCAGCGTCCACCGTCAACTACAATCGAGAATCTTTACCCTGTGGGAGGAATACAAGTCAGGCGAGAGGACGAGCAAGCAGCTCCTACGGGCCTGCGCACGCCTGTATGGTCCACGCGACATATAATTCCTGTAGGTCTAACCGTGGTGTTAGACGTTGCACTCGTACAGGACCAAACGGCTCCTTTAGGAGCCACCAAATGAATAAAAGCAATGACCACATATATATCGGGGGGGGGAACTCGTTACGAAGGAGGCGAACTCGATTGGAACGGGGCGAATTTGTAGGGGGCGAGTTTGCAAGGGGGCGAAACCACTTTCATTCGTTGCTGTTATCTGTCTTTTCATTATTCCGGGCAATTTTAACGTTGTTGCATGTTCCCTTTAAGGCTTGAACAGGGCATTATGCTCGAATCCCTCGTCACTTGCGTCGACCTTTTTGTATTTAGCCGTTGTGAAAATGCTGCCCTTAAAGAAGTATGACTGACTTTTTTCTCTTAACTGGCTTGTTGTGCTCCATAGGTTTTGGTGCTTCCTACTGGGAATTTAGATGGAAGTTAATGAACATAAAAGGAAAAAAGCAAACCTTTGTCGATTTTGTGGCAAGACCACCAAATTAAAAAGTGCTAAAGCCAAAGGTAACTTCAAGAATGAGTTTGCAACAGGTTATGGCATTGCTATTGAAGAAGACAATGACTTCATACATCCACCATGTGTTTGTCTGTCATGTATGAGACATTTTTATCGCTTAAGATAGTCAGCTTCAAGAGGAGAACCTACTTCTGCTTTGAGTAATACTCAATGTTCTTGGAAGCCTCACACAGAAGAAAGCTCATGCATTTGCAAGAAAAAAGTGGGGAGACCAGGTCTGATTAAGAAAAGGAAACGTGTTGAAGTGGCAAGTGGAAGTGACACTGCAAGTGGGGAAGAAGAAGAAGATGAGTATGAGAAAGCTTCTTGTGACATTTATAGCACCATATCAGAGAATTTGCATCTTATTGATGAGGAATTAGCAATAGCATTATGTCGCGATCTTTGCTCCCGTTTTGGTCTTGTCTTCGTTGATCCAAAAGACATATTTTTATCACTGAAAAACATTGATAGACAGCTACTATTGAAATTAGTTGAAGCTATCTTTTCCCTTGAGAGAGAAAACTTGAAAGCTGACAATTGCGACCGAAGTTACAAGAGCATTTCTGATTTGTTGACAGTGACACCTGAATCCTGGCTTACGTCACAAAATGTTGTCCTTAAAAGTGTTGTCAATGGGTTGAGTGATAGCGGTACAAAACCTGTCAAAAAGGTTATGGCTGTTGATCAGATGTACAGTTTGGTGAAGCCGAACTTTATTAGTCCAATCATGTTTGGAGCTAACTTGGTTATGTACTCCATTGCACGCAGCAAAATGGCAGTTAACATATATGGAAAACTGCATCCGGGTGGACAATACAAAACTATGAGGTCATGGCTTGATGGATTAACAATGGAAATCCCAACGATGCCTGAGAATGATATATTAACTGCAATAGACAACGACCAAGTTCTACTAAAAAGGTGGACCGTGCGCAAGGACAATCATGCACAAATAAGTATACTAACAAGTGTCTGCTGTGCAGAGGTTGGTTCCATGGACCCTGTTCTACAATGAAATGAAAGGCTTGCACCAAGGTACATGCAAATTGTGTAAGATATAGGGTTACAGTAATTATTATTCACCTCTATTCAAATTTCATTTTAGGAATTTAAAAGTTGCCTTGAAGTATTTTTCTTTGGTTATACAAAGTCATTTCAAACTAAACTCAGATAGAGTTTGGCCTTGGAAAACTGCATATCAATTTTGCTACCCCAATTACATGCATTGATTCTTTATTCCAAATAATATTACTTAGTACATGTATGTTAAGTGCAGCCAGGAATCCTTGTTTCTTCGAGTACCTTCAATTTCTTAATAATTATCCTCGATTTGTCATTTAAAAAATACACATCCCTTAGGCTTTCCTCACATGACTGTTATTTTACCCCAATTAAATGAAACTCTCAATTTATCATTATATTTTTGCTAATCCAGTGGCATATATATATATATATAGTCATTTTTTGCCTATATTATAACAAAGTACCGTACTGGATCTTAATTTTGTTTTTACAGTTTGTGTATTCTGGCAAAGTAATTTATTTAATCATTATTTTGCTAACAGCAAATGGCCTGAAAGATTAGCAGAGGCCAAAAATGACCCACTGAGGGAAATGCAACTTGTCCAAGATTGTTCTGCCAACAATGAGGATGTCATGCTCTTACGTAAGGAGGTAATAGAAAGAAGTACATGTAACTCATTAATAGAGAATGTTTTCATTTGTTACTTATCTGTATGAAACTGAGTTTATTAATCAGGATACACATCATATTTATATTATCATTTTTGTTGTTTCTTGGTTTTCTAGAATAAGAAAATGATTCATGACATCCTCTACAAAGTTGTGAGAGAGCAGACAAATTCTGAAGGCAGCTGGACAGATGACATTGACATGAGGGTTGCAGAGATGCAGGCTAAAGAAGGGATGCGCGTGTGCCCTGTATGCAACACCAGCATGCCAAAGACAAAGCGCAAATGTACTAATCAAGAGTGTCGAGTCAGTTTGAAAAGTGCTGAAAGGGAAGCCAATGACACTGACATCCTTGGGACTGCACTTGTTGCCGCTATCCGCACTTATCATCACAGAGTCCATGAAACGTCACTTGGGTTCCAAATTGAAGAAGATAAGGCATTTGTTTACAGCAATGAGGAGATCTGGGAAACTCACAAGAAATGGACTGATGTCCCAAGTGGGCATCCAGCAAATCCTATCAAGATGCAAACTTGCGACCCAGTGTTCCTTAACCCCAATTCATTTGATTCCATTAAAGAAGTCCTTAGGCGGGTAGACAAACCAAATGCACGCGAATGGTTGAGTGTCACCATGGATGGATCCCCATATTTGGTCAGTAGAACTGTGATTGACACCGTCTATTTGTGTTGTGATTGTGAAGCAGAGGTTCTCAAAAGAGAGCAAGATGAACATCGTGCTGATGAACACAGGGGCCGGAGGGTTAAGTTTGTTCAAGAGTTCGACTGGGTGTTATTGCGCACTGGAAAACTGCACTTGGAAATGAACATGCAAAGTCATTCACTAGCCTTTACTGGGATGTGTTCATGTGTCATCTGGCCAAAGAGTTGGGGTTCAATTCTAAAGCAGCTCAGAAGTTTGTCAAAAAATGCTCTGATCATCACAAAACAATGTCTATTTTGAAAGTGGCCCACTTTGGATTCTCGTATGAACATCTTGTACCTTATTTGCCTAGCCGCCTTGCATCTGGGTCAGCCCTGTCAGTAAATGACTTTTTGTATGACTGGTTAGTTAAAGTTGGTTGGACCCAGCCCAACTACAGGTACATCTTTAACACTACCTGAACATACGTAATGGGAATCAATTTACTTCATGTGGGTGTCAGAAGGAACAATGCAGAGTATATTCGAGCTGGGCATATGGCCTTTGCTCCGCTGTTCCATAGAAATGGTGTTTCCAAATATGCGCTCATAGACTTGCATGACAGGTTAGTAATGACTGCTACATTTTATTGTGACATTGGTTTTCTTGCTAGCTGAGCTTTCAAAAGAAGTAAGAAATAAAACTCTCACACGCTGAATGCGGAATGGGTACAATGTCATGCCAGATCAGCAGGTTTCATGCTTTGTCAATAAAATTAATGGTTGCTGCATTCTTGGGTGACAGGCAAACTACATTCAGTGTTCAAGAATGACATCTTCCTCACTTTAGAAAAGCATGCATAATACACCTTTTGCTGTTCATTACGAGAAAATGCGCAATCATTTGCGTGAAACTGCGATCAATAGTGCGAAGATACATTCATTAGCGCGAAAATACGAGCATTTGCCCATAAATCAGATTCAATACCGATTTTTGCATTTTAATCAACACTCAATAACACTTTTGGGCATTCATATGCGTCATTCGGCATACAAAAGAGAAAAATATACTTTCATTTGCGCTAGTATGCAAGTCATTAACACCATCTTGAAAGTCAATAGGGACAATAAACAAACATTTAAGTGAAAAAACCATTTATTAACATTTCTGTCACACTGTTTGCAATTCAATAGAATTCCTGGACAGCCTTAGTGTGGATAAGACAAACATTAATGCACTTGTACAAACAATTACCCGTTCTTTAAATTCAATAAACAAAATACGATTTTCAATGAAACAATACCTATTTTCCTTGAAATTTTCATTGCTAGTGCGATGCACATGATATGTACATGTATGTACAACCCTTTAGATAGGTTACGTAACCTTTGTCAAGTGCAAATAGGATAAAAGGATCAGAAAATTTCTTCCTGTTCATTTCACTTCGTGAGCGTTTTTTGACTACTGGTACAAGTACACGTAAAATGCCACGAAGAAATCAATTCCTCTCGAACACAGAGAGAGAATCGTTAGAGCGTTTGAGGACGAGCAGGAAGACTATCTTTTAGTCGCAGACACGATGGGCGTGAATCGATCAACGGCAAGGGGTATCGTTGCGCGTTACATCACAGAGGGCAGGATCCAGGAGAGACCTAGGGGTGGGAGAAACAACGTGCGCGTTGATGATGAGATGAGAGACTCTCTAGAGCAAATTATCAACGAAAACTGTCTGCTCACACTTGCTCAAATAAACAGTGAGTTGAGGAGACGGTTACCAGCCAAACCGGAGATACATGACCGCACCGTATCAAGAACGTTAGACGGGATGCTGTTCCGAGTGAAACTGGTAAGACC